ATTTTTATTTGTGTTAAGTGCCATAATTTAATGAATTAACAATTGATAAATATTATTATAATGCATAACCATGTACACCAATTAAACAATATATAAAAGATCTTGTCTTTTCTTTTACTTACAAATATTCTGATCGCTATCCGTAAAATAATGTAAATACAACATACAATACATTCTCTCTCAATACATTCTCTTGGAATCGATATCCAGAATAAAGTGCTACTTGAATATTTTCGATATTCAAATTCTGCATAATTTAAAATTATGTACATTGTATGGCAATAGTCTGACCCTTTTAGGAAGATTCATAACATAACTGATGTAACGTTAATTTAGAACATGGTATTTCTGGGTATAAAACCTATAGTATTTGAAATTAAGAAATAAAACTCAGTACATGAGGTGTATAATTTAATCAACATAAATAAACTCGGATATATAAATAACGACTAAAGCTGTTCTACCTGTATTAAAGAACGACTGTGTCGAATATTCTACTTGTGAGGTCGTGAAACTACATACACATTATCACTACAATCATCTGACATCAATTTGACCTAACTTATGCAGGAAAACCCCAACCAACAAAATGACGGTTTTGAGTTAAACACATTTTTAACCTGTTGAATTTATTTTACTTATTACTGATTTATGATGAAGAAAAAACATAGAAGAATACGTAACGTTTCGATTCGATACGCAATAGGTTTAATTTTAAATTATAGGTTTCTTTTAAATTGCCAGTCTAGTTTAATCAACCATGTGATATTAGGTTCTTTTCCTCGTGAGAAAATATCCTAGTCCAGAAAAGGGATGATAGCAAGCTTATGATGATGTTTGGGTTGGTTCCTTCTTGTGTAAGTCCAATTTTAGAAAATAAATAAGCAAATCGTAATTGCTGAAGGCGATTTATCAATACTACTAGACACATTTTTATTTTCTTTTTGATTTATATTATGTGCACGCTCGTGCAATACAATAATTTGTGCGTTTTGTATATCTATCACTCCGAATTGAAAATAATCATTTCCGTATTGACGCATATCAAGTAACTCCAACCTGTCTTAGATTTTAATTACTATTCGAATTACTACGTGTGTCATATTAAATTAATCTATCACCCACTTTTCACCTGTTTAGTATAAACTGGTTTAGAAATCTCTGAACAGATTGGAATAAATTAATATGCTGCCATCTGAACTTTGAAACTTAGTTATGTTCCGTCTTCGTCTTACACTTAAAAATAACAAATGCGTAAAAGTGACAGCAACACGACTCAGAAGCACGCGCTAAACGTCTATTCTCGACCAAATACTAACATTTAGAAGTCACATCACGATTGACTTTTCTACATTTAGACAACACAGAGAGCCTAGGGCTATACAATGAGGGTTTTTTGAATCCATAGTGGCGCTAGCGTCGATCAAGTCTCTTGGAAATTTGCTATTGTTAAGTCACTTGTAAAAGTGCTGAAATGTTGGATTAAATGTCCTGTTTTAATTTTCTAATCATCAAGCCGTTTTTCAGTCAGCAGCTAATTAGGTTAATTGGACTTAACTCCTCACTAGCGCCCTGTGTGACTAGCAATTGTGTACACATCAATATATGGAGAAAGCTGGACGTTGAGTGAGGGAAGTTCGCCTAGAGAGGGCGGAGCGTGGAGGCTCGCGGGCACTCATGGGCCTAGCTACAGAAGTTCGTCGATTCCTTTCGTTGTTGCGTTGGACGAGGTCTTCTTCCATGTTCTCACCATCGATGGATGTCGGATGGATCCTACGTCGCGGTGAGAGTGCTCGAGGCGTGCGCGGAGTTCTCGGCGCCCGAGCTGACAGGCACCGGGACTTTGGACGGTCCTCTTCAGTCCACTCGTGGACGGACATGTAATATTGATCCTGTATAAAGATGGGACGTTAATAATTTTTCGTCATTAATCACGCTAGTTAATGTTGTTTACATATTAACAATAACTTTATTATAATCGTTACCGTAGGTAATAAGAATTTTATTTATAGACTAGTGGATCCCGCCAACTTTGTTTCGACTTGAACATTTTCCTGCGCATCTTAGTTATTTATTTCTTATACAAGAAACTTCCCCTAACAATAACAAACTCAACAAAAATGAATTAGTAAAGTCGGTTCAGCTGTTCTCAAGCTTTGCGCTTAGCAACACATTTAGCGATTAATTTTTATACATATAAGTACTAGCGGACCCAACAGACGTTGTCCTGCATATCCACTTGAATGTATAAACAAAAATTCATTCAAATTAGTTCATCTGTTTAGGATAAATAACCTAAACATCGACTGCAGCGCCATCTGAAAAAAAGACACTGCGCGAAGCTCGGTTCAAACACATCGGCCGAATAGGGGCCAAACTTGCTTCTTACCCAACGGGTAGTAAGGCTTTTTGGTCCCTGGCCAAGTCGGTGGAATCGAACTTCTGTCGCCCCTCACTCCCACCACTACTGCGGTCTGATGGGACGCTGGCTTACACCGCAATGGAGAAAGCAGACTTATTCGCCTCTCTTTTTGCGGAGTCTTCGCGTCTTGATGCTGATGGCGCTTCACCACCTTCTATACACCAAGTATGCGAGACTAACATGTCGGACATTCGCATTCGACAGAAGGAGGTCTGCAGAACGTTGCGCAACCTGGACGTGAACAAAGCCAGTGGTCCTGATGGAATCCCGGCCGTAGTACTGAAAACTTGTGCACCTGAGTTAGCTCCAATCCTGACACGTCTGTTTCGCCTATCTTTGGAGACTGGTCAAGTGCCGAAAGCATGGAAGCTGGCCAACGTGCAACCTGTGCCTAAAAAAGGTAGTCGTGCCGACCCTAATAACTATAGACCTATCTCGGTCACGTCCATACTCTGTAAGAGTATGGAACGTGTACTGAATAACAGGCTCCTGGCATACCTTGAAGGTAACGATCTCCTTAGTGATCAGCAATACGGATTTCGCCGAAACCGATCTACTGGGGACCTTCTTGCATATGCCACCCACATCTGGAGCGAGGCCATCGAGAAACACGGGGAAGCGTTAGCCGTATCGCTCGATGTCTCGAAGGCCTTCGACAGGGTCTGGCACGATAGTCTTGTTGGCAAGCTTCCCGCATATGGACTCCCCACTGGTTTGTGCAGATGGATAACAGACTTCCTGAGGGATCGATCCATCCGTGTGGTCATTGACGGCTGCTCATCCAATCCACTTGGTATTAATGCCGGGGTTCCTCAGGGGTCAGTACTCTCAGCAACACTTTTTCTGTTGCACATTAATGACCTGCTCCAGCCCGGTATCTTTGGGTACGCAGATGACAGCACCGTTGTTGAGAGGTATGTGTCCGATGCGCGAACCAGTGCAACTCAAATCCAGTCTCTGAGAGAATCTATGGTAAATCGTCTGAACCTGTCCTTGCAGGCGGTCTCCGATTGGGGTGACGCCAATCTGGTCAGGTTCAATGCCAGCAAAACCCAGGCGTGTCTGTTTTCCGCTAAACGGAGTCGGTTCCCACTGACTCCTACTTTCCGGGGTGTGTCCGTTCCGATGGGTGACCGTCTCGAGCTTCTCGGCGTAACTCTGAAGCCCACTCTCAATTTTGGCTCGTATATCGAGACAAAGGCGCAACTGGCTGGTAGAAAGTTGAGTGTCCTGTCGAAGGTGAGACGGTACTTCACGCCGGAGCAGTTGCTCACTCTTTACCAAACACAAGTTCGGTCTTGTATGGAGTACTGCTCCCATCTTTGGGATGGCTCGGCGAAATACCAGTTGGAAGCCCTCGAATCCATCGAGAGGCGTGCCAAGAAGCTCATCAATAACGATTCGCTTGTGGAGGCTCGGCTACAAAGCCTCGAACACAGGCGCAAAATCGCAAGCCTTTCGGTCTTCTATCGGATACATTTCGGTGAGTGTGCGTGGGAATTGCACAAACTTATTCCCCCTAGTCCATTTCACCACCGTACCACCAGGCGAACGGCGGGACGCCACCCTTATATGGTGGACATTCCACCCATTCGAACGAAGCGTTTCGCGTCAAGCTTCCTCATGCGAACCGCTAAGGAATGGAATTCTTTGCCAGAGGCTGTGTTTCCCGCCAAATATGACTTGGGTGTCTTCAAGTCCCGAGTGAACAGGTTGCTCATAGGTAGGCGTGCTCCATCGTCGGCCACATCATCGCTTACCATCAGGCGAGATGGTGGTCAAACGTCGACCTATAAAGTATAAAAAAAAGAGATGGTGGTCAAACGTCGACCTATAAAGTATAAAAAAAAAAAAAAAAAATCTGCCGGGCTGATTTGTGAATCTAAACCATTCCCAAAAAATTTCATCAAAATCGGTCCAGTCGTTTGAGAGAAGTTCAGTGACATACACACTCACGAAAGAATTATATATATAAAGATAGATTATTGATGAATACTTCTATAAATGACGTCAAAGAATTAGTATTTATGGCATTATGACGACATTTTCAATTAGGTATAATGTGTTTTTAAACCTTAATTAGATATACGCAATAGAATTTTTCCTCTTCTATATTCAGAAAATTAGCACTAATCTAAATGCGGATAGGTGTAAATGTCGAATGACTAATTTATACCAAACTATTGACGTGTTAGTCGAGTAAATCACAAGGAATTGATAATAATGCTTGTTTCATAAATTAGGTACTATTTTCCTATTCTACCAAATTTCCAAAATGAATCACAAATTAAAGGTGAGTAAATAGAATTTTTCTATATTATACAATAATAAAGTACCGCTACATGTAGTACATTCACTAAATTTGAACTACCTAGATACAGTATACATTGATCTAATTATTACTTTATCTAAAATAGTATAAATTTAAAGTGAGAACTTACCAGAATATTCCAGAACCTGCCCCTGATCTATAGGCAGTTGAAAGTGCAAGTGAAATAATGACAACAGTAGACTAAAATACAGTTGATTCTAAATGTCTCGTGGTCTGTGAACTAGTGAACAAAATAAAACCAACATGTATAGTGTTAAACTGTATTAAATGATTACCTAATAGGTATACAATACGTCCTCTGGTCTTCATAAAACATCGTACGTCTCAAAACTTCGAGTTAAGTTGCTGTCTACATGTACAATAAGTATCTATTAGTTTAGTTAAAACTTATCTAGACAATTTACCATAAAAAGCTTGCGTGAAAATTATTCGATCAAATATTACTTTCAAATTATGAGGCCAAATTCCAAAGAACTGATTGAATCGCACAGAAAATGCAAAGTATCTATCTTATCATAACTGACAATGCAAGAAAGTTTTGTGACTGAAGCTTCAAACATTAATACACGCTATCTAAACCTAATCATCTCTTATAGTCATAGTTACATATAAAAACATTATATAATAATCTGGTCAGTCAATCTCGAGCCCATACCTGTTCTCGCCACAGCAGTGCCTGGTATCAAAAGTTCTCCAGCGACAATAAAATACGAACTGCCTGGTACATAACGCGAATGCAATGTAAAGCTAATACTGTCTACGTCAGTGTATCACAATGTTATGATGAATGCTGTGCCAAGAACTCCTATCTCCTATCATTACATTCCAAATTATAAAAACATCGAAATATATCAGTGCATATATCTATGAATACGTAGTGGAAACAACAAAACACAGTGATAACAAAGCCTATAATAGTACTAGGAATAGTATAAATAAATATAATACACATTTAGATAGTAGTTTAGCATAATATATGAATATCACTTGATTACCGATACAATATACTAAAACATCGCCATGAGATAATGTACGTAGTGCTGCTAATGAAAAGAATGTCTAAGTGCAATGTTGAGCACAGTTTCCTTAAAGCATTTTCTAATGAAACCATGCTTGCTCAAACAATTGCGCAGATAAAGGTAAAGGCTACTGGACACAATATTACTGGAGACACCGAAATGGATAACACTACGGTACCTACTATAATGAATTGGCACTCATGATACTAACATCACTCGGACAATGATGATGTAAACAAAGAATTTCACTTGTAAAATTATTCAACTATAAACGCTACAAATACAACATTCAAATGTATAAATTACGTATAACAATACAATATTAATGATTGATACACTTATAACACACTCAACATATTGTCCGAAAAGATATGCAAGAAATCATTGACATTGATTATGACAAATTTAATAACATCCAATTTGTCTAAACAAACGTACCTTAATAAAGTCACTCAAACCGGATATCAATTTATCGAACAAAATTAACAAATATAAAAAATGTTATACGATAAGTTTGGACTCTTGATTATAAATATTAGAGTGGTTCGCTGAGAAGTCGAGGTTTCTCAGTGCAAGCTCTTAACATTGTTGTTGATTCAAATTCTCGACGGATTTCGGAGGCTGCGATGCCGCTGGCACTGGACTCTACGGTGAAAAAGCACGCATTAATTCTTATCCCAATTTAAAATGTAAAAGGCACGCAAATTAGAAAAAACAATGGTTAAAAAACAAAAGAAAAACCAAACAAAAGAAAACGGGTTAGATGATTGTTATCCACGATAGCCAAGTCCCTCACTCACAAACGCAATGAGTTACCTATTCAATAAAATGTGTATAAATATTCTGGCTGAAACAAAAATGAACAAGTGCGATTTAAATGTCCGTCACCGAAAAACGAAAACGAAATGAAAAAGCGAAAACGACATAGAACAAAAAGGCCCAAGTTGCGGCTAGAAAGGGCCTCACCTCCTGTCGAGAATGGCCGAGACTGTCTGGCACCGGCGATTGGCCCGACATCTGCTTGATGTACTCTTTGTCATCGAAAATTTTGATGTCACCGCCTCCGGGTTTATGCTTTACGTTATCCATGGAGCCCACTTTACTTTGTGCTTTGAATTCCAATTTTTGATTTTCGATCTGTTTCAAAGAATTTAGTGTGCACATAAAATAAAAATACATACAATATTTATTATAAGGAAGGTTCCGTAGATACTAATTAAAAATACTTTGATTGCTATATTAATGAATGGCTGTCCACAAATACTCTATTTTTGTCAAAGGAATGAAGTGTTGAAACGTGATACATTGCCAAAAATCGTCGGCAATATATCAACGTTACATTCATACAATTGACAATATTTTTGCTTTTGTTTCGAAGAAAATTGTAACTGAAATTTTGAATAACGATAACGATTAATAATATATATAAAAAATTCTTAATAAATATCGGCTTACGTTGTCCAAAACGATTGAAATGTGACTTGTAATCAACTAATAATTTTAAAGATACTACAAAACATTTTGTCAACAAAAGTATTAATGGAATCAACATATATGACTATACGTGGATTTGATTATAATAAGATTAACCCGATAAAAATACTATAAAATCGTCTTACTATCAACTTTATAAATTACAACTTGATTAGGAACACTATAAAAGTTTTATTAGTTGTGTATGTGTGTAATCGACCTTGTTCAAGGGAAATTAGTTGAATCGTGGTCTAATAAATAAATAACCATAGGTACTCTGAAAACCCCGTGGACTTCTTCAATTAATTTTATATGAATTCTATAAACAAAGCAGCAAAGTCATTCCAATTAATTCTCATCAACTATAATTATGTATGTAGAAAAAGTTTTCCCACAATAAAAACAATAATATAGGTTACAATTTTCTTCTAATCAATTTAATTGCGAATACTGTGGTCACAGTGTATTAAAATCAAGGAAAAATTTGTATTTTCTAACACAAATAATAGTTTCTACGGAGCCTTCAAGCATACATAGATATATCAGTGCGGTTGCTAAGTAATAATATCATAAACATGTGATGTAGGTACATACACGTATGTTTGTGTTTGTTTCATAGTACAATGCATAATCGTTATTGATTTCCATAGCGTGCCTGTCGATGATATTCGTGTAGGTCGTGTGTACAGTAACAATCAGGTATTCGTTCTCTACTTTACATAACATTATCATACTATTATTTTATATAGAAATTTGGCATTCCTAGTGTATAAAATAAAACTTATCAGGTGTAACGACACTTATTCTACTATCATTCATATTCATCAAACCGGCAAGACATTTATATTATATCAGTTTTATGTGAATAATAACACTCTGTTCATTTCATATCAAAAGCGTAACACCTAGCGTGATAGTACAGCCACAGCCCGTCCTAGAAGTAACTTAAGTATAAAAAGTTTCTATCGAGTTAAGATATCTCACGTATGGTACAAAACATGTACCGCCCAACCAACCTTACTCCATAAAGAGTGGTAGGCAAAATGTTTATGAGATGCTCTCCATCGCGGTAACGCCCACTTAACATACTAAAAATAACAATTATAAAATCTCACAATTACGTTTATAGACATTGCATTACATACATCTATTGTATATGACGTACGTATGTGCATTGACGTCACTGCTTATAAACTTAAACCTGTATAACGAATTTTACATAAAAATTGTGCAATAAGTGACTGTGTTCACACAAACTTAAATATTGATTATTTTACTCACAGCTCTCGTTCCATCTTTTGCAACTGTAGACTAAAGAAGAACATCATTATTTTCGACATTGTACTTAGTTATAAATACAATTCTGACCTAATAGACTTTGATCGTACTATTTTACAATAAGTGCCTCTATCTTACTTAATGTGAACTGGTCTAACATATTTGCTCAACAATGATACTGCCTGTGTCTTCTTCTTTTACGTCTAAGTGCTTATCGAAATATTTAAGCTCTACACGATTGATATCTTTACCAGCTGTGCTGTCAAACTAAGTAAAACAATACTCACTGAACGATGTTAGACAAAACGTTGTTTATTACCGCATCCCTATAACCTAACATTTTTTTAAAACATTGTTAGTATGTTCTGTTGTCTTACCTTAACAGCACCACCGCCAGGCTTATGAGTGATGTTGACTGTCGAAGCAACTTTTGGTTTAGCTTTTTCTTTAAAATCCAATTTGACAGTTTCAATCTTCTTGTCGCCGCCACCTGGTTTGTACGCAGTGTTCTGGAGCGATCCAATCTTCGATTTTGCGTTCCATTCTAATTTCGTGGATACAATCTAGAAAACAAAAATCGTTTGTAAGTTGCTGTACTTTACCACTTTTGTAAAGTTCTATTTCGTAAAAAAGTTCTATTACCTTTTTGACTCCACCACTTGGAGTGTAAGCATCATTTTTAGCAGCAATTTTGGGCGTTACGTTACCGAACTCTAATTTCCTGTTTTCAATCTTAACTTTTCCACCGCCAGGCTTGTACGTCGCATTGTCTAATGAGCCAATTTTCGATTTTACTGCTTTAATATTAGGCGACGGAGCGTTGCCAACTTGTACTTTGTTCATCGGTACCTCTGAAATAAACGTTTTTAATATGTTATTTATGTGTTCTATCCATTTAAACTATCAATAAGAAACACTACACCAATATTTGTATTTTGCTTGCCTCTTGTTTAATTTTAGCAAACTCATAAACATACCAATTGAATGTTGTACCTTTTTTATACGTTTAACTTGGGGCTGTGTATAAAAAAGGGTAGTCATCGTTTAATATACTTTATTAACCAATGTAAAGAAACTATAATAATATCAATGAATAGTGGTTGTTGAGTACAATAAAACCAAGGTTAAGGGCAAAAAATGCTTACGATAAAAAATGGTAATTGCTTACTTTTTTTCTCATTCGGTGGTGGATTTTCCGGCGTTTTAGCAGTAGCACTTTTGCTTGATGACCGTGACAGGCTTGTTTTCAAACTGTTACTGGACTTCTCTTTCATGGGGAGTTTGCTTGGGATTTTCTTATTGGGCGAACCAGGAGATCCATTGACATCCTAGAAATATATTTAGTTAAGTTAGTATGTAGTTTATTGAACGAAAATAAATAAAGATATTTTGATAAAGATTCATACATTGCCTTGCGTAGATTCATCGACGCCACTATCATTGTCACCATCTAAAGGAAACATAAAAATACATGTATGAATTGTATGATACGTGTTGACCAGAGAATATCATAGTTCTAACCTAGTTTAATAAAACGTTTGGCTCATTTTGATAATCGCAATATTTGCGTTGTAATGAATATGTATATTGAGTTACCTTTTGGTCGAGATTTTGGCGCAGATGCTGTTTTACGAGGTGTTTTCTTTACATCTGCGGAACCAATTGGTGAAGTTAAATCGTTTGGTTTCTTCGGTGGTTGTTGTGGTGGCTTAGCATCTGGTAAAGGAGACTTTGAAGGAGTCTTGTTTGTCGGGGTTATTGGTTTTGTATCTGTCTTTGTTTCTGACTTCGGTTCAACTTTAGGAGTTTTTGGGCGAGCAGGTTCCGGGGTAGCGCTTTGAGATTTTATTGGGACAGTTGGGCTCATTGACGGTTTTTGCTTAGGTTCAGGAGAGTCATCACTGCGAGTTAAAGACGGAGAACGATCAGAAAACTCTTCTTTTGGTTTTGTAGTTTCAGTCGCAGTTCGTGAACTCGTTGAGTTATTTTGCAGAATCACATCATCGTCATCATCAACTTTCTTTTTTGGTGTTGATGTTGGTAATGCACCAATAAAAGATTCTGTCATTTTAGATCCAGATAAACGAGATTCAGCGCGTTCAGGAACTTCTTTCCCTCCATCATTCGAAGCTTCTGAACGAATGCTCTCCTTAGATTCCCGTACATTTTCTTTGCTGTCTATTTTTCCTTCTTGAATTAAACCAAGTCCTGGACTCCGACTAATAAATTCATCTATCCTTCCACCTATAGCACTGACAGACTTTCGTCGATCATCTTCTGCTTTCAAGGGGCTCGGGGCTCCGGGGGCTGCTGCAATGCTATAGCTTCTACCTTTAGCCACCCCAGGCCCTTCAATGCCGTTTTCTGCCTTAGGGACATTTGGGTTTTCACTTGAAATATTTTGGTTATCCAGGTTGGCTGATTTTGTCTGATAAGTATTAGATATGTCAAGACCCTTCAGAGAGCCTTGTGATGGTTGCCTCTGGACTCCGGGGACAGGTGGTGCACCGTTTCTTATGGCACCGTTTGGTTGCTGTCCAGCAATCTGTGGTCTACCTCCGTCAGGTGTAGTTGCACCGACAAGTGGCGGCTGCCTCGGGCCGAACTGCAAGTTGTTCGGAGGAGGAGCACGTTGCAGTGGCTGTCCTGTCGGTGACTGAATTGGTCTAGGACCTTGTTGGGGTGCAATAGATTGCGGACCAAAAGGTCGTACTGTAGGAGGAGCGGGGCGAACTTGCTGAGCTCCTGGAGGGCCAGTTGGAGCTGGGGCTGGACCTCTTGCTACTGGTGCACCTGTTCTTGGCGCAAATTGTGGAGGTGAACTAACAGGTCCTCCAGGTTGAAACTGCGGTCTGGGCTGTGATGGAGGTGCCGCCGGTCTCGGAGATTGTGGTGGAAAGGCTGACCGAGAGTCCTGCCTATTAAGTGGACGAACTGACGGTGGTGGCTGAGTTGAAACTGGTGCTTCTTGACCAGCTAACCCTGAACTCAGCGGGCGAGTCTCCGTTGGCGCCTTTCAAAAATAAATAAATAAATCGATAAACCATATTGTATGACCCAGCTGTATGAGCTACAATAAATGCAGGTAGGATTTTCATTTAGATAATGAACAACTACGCTTCTGTGTTTCTTAAATAAATTCTTCATTAGTAAAGTTTTACATGTAATCAAACTACTTATTTCTCTTATCGCGTTAGATGGATACTTCGGTTAATCACGAAACAAAATATTGTTTACATGGCGCAGACACGATCGATGATAGTAACCATAGAAACTATGTTTCATAATGTCAATATTGCAAACACTCAATATTTTGCGAGTCTGGGCGACATCAGACAACGTGGAGTGATTGAATGTGGTATCTGTCGGGTGCGGGGCGGAGACGGAGGCGCTGTCACCAACTCCCCACTCGACCGGAATCTCTACCAACTAGCAATAGATTTTCAGAAAAAATTTAACATCTTTTTTAAATAGCAGAACAAAAAACATTTCATGTCTGTAATTTTACGAAATTTAACAACAAGTCAACCATAATGTTAATAATACCTACTCAGAATTTAAATAGTAGTCTATCTATTGAAAACATTGTATCTGATGCTGTACACCGTATTAAAGATAAGTTAAACGTGCTGTCACTCCTAGATATTCAATCATTTTATCTCTTGATTTCAATAATTTTCTGAAGCAATTTATCTCGATGTGCTCGTGCGCGCAGTGAAGATAAGCTACGATTGCTTAAATTACGTATGATGTATGTAAAATTGAGAAATGTATTAAATGATTTATTTCCGTGTTTCCATCCGTTCGTGGATCCAATGGGACCGCGTGAGCGAAGCGAGCAACGCCCGATAGATACAAGTTGTCACGAACTCGGCTACTGGGTCAACGAGCTATTGCTGAGCAAAAAATATACAGCACGTCCTCTGAACCAGTTCCATTTGGAATAGTTTGTTAAAAAACTTCGCCAAAATCCTTAAAGAAATTTTCGGTTATTCCTCAGAAATCGGGCACGCAATAATTTCGCATCGCCAACAAACATGAGTCAATGACAAACGGACTATTCGGTGGAAACCTGTAGTTACGAATTAATTTGAATTTAGAATGTAACCGTTTTTGTTGCCAAATTATTATTCATAGGTATAAATGTATAACAGTTGATTCGTAGACAGCTGTAGCGTGTGCTACGACAATGTCTACGTCGCTAGCGTCGAGCAATGCACTAACTGTACAAATATTTTTACTGAACTGCTGTAAACGACATCCCATGAACTCATTTCAGTATTTGTAAAATTTCTATATATATAGTTTGTTACGTTTTTGGACAATCATCCCAGTGACGTGAAATAAATCGTCACAACTTCGGATATTGCGCACAGTTTGTCATACTTATCTACATGATTCCAAAGTTCACCTTCGTTTTGTTTTAATAATTATTTCAAATAAGTATTTTGTACGCATTTAAATACATATTTCAATAACTACAAACTGATATTTCTAAAACAATGGCTCAGAATTATAATTAACAATATGACGGGTAGCTTACTTTAATTCTGTCATTTCTCGTATTATTTTGTTTGGCTGTATTAGTATAATATAATCATGAACCTGTACTCTTGTATAAAAATGTAAATATTAGTATCAGCTGATACGAACGTAACTAATAATATTAGGTAGATGCTGACCTAACCAAATGTAAACTAAGAATAATTTAATTAAAACTTAGAATTATAACGATACATTTTTAAAATTTCTCCGAACATGTCAAACGAGGACAAGAAAAGACCAGCGCCCATAAAAGGCATGACTTCTAAATTGACTTTGAACGTTGAACGCATCGCGGAATGGTGCCTGTTTAGGGCCTATCCCAACTGAAATAGAAATACGACACGCGAAATACATTTTCGTTTTATTGAAAGCTCATTTAATATGTAGTAAATTGCTGGTAGTATATGAATGCAGAGCCGATTGCCGAAAAGAATTACTTACTTAAGTTTAATCTAATATTTTCAAAGTTCTATGGACCTATATTGAAAGCGCACTGCTCGTTTGACCCGGACTTATGAAAATCCTTCAAGTCACTATAGTATACTAAATATGTGAAAACATACCTCTAAATGTAGTCTAGAATATTAATTTAAAAAATGCATCGCCATAAATGTGTCTCTGTTTGTCTGTGACAAAAGGTAGACGTTCTTGATCGCGTGATTTTGCTATATTTTATAGCTCTCGTCAACGAATTCTCTCAAATTTACATGAAAAGACTGTAAAATTTCGCGAATACTATGGTTAACTTTGGCATAACATTGCATGGCGGTACCTCCACTGATTTATATTCATAAACACTTATTCTGTTTCTTGGAAATTACGTTGATATTCACGCAGAACAGGCAGCTAACTTTGCAATTCTTACAGAAAAAATTACAAAAGTTTGGCAAGTCGAAACGAATTCAATCTATTCATTATGTTTTAGTGGCGTAGTGCTCAATGCCGAAGTTTCCATGAGCTAGTCATTTTTGGCCAAGCTTAATAGTGGTATCGTTTAAGTAATCACGAAAGCCCGTGATTCGATGTTTTACCTAATAAGCTAAAACAGCCCTTGTACTTTTATTGGAAGAGTTGAACGCTTCACGGTCGTACTTTTTGCAACGTTTTTAGGTACGAATCTGACATAAAACGAATGAATTAACAGTTTGTTAATTACGGAGTAGTTAATCTCGAAGTTTGTAGTTAAGCCGGAACACAAGTTAATGTTTTGTTTATTCATGTCATTTGATGGTTCCATGAAGTGCATTAGTGCAGCATTTAGTTCGGTGCTCTCGTGAAACCACGAGGCTTACCCGGTTAGCGTCCATACTGCTTAGTGACTAGTACAAAGGTTAAAGTTTACAATCTTCAAACTTTGACAGTCTCTATGTCATATTTCTTCGCTCGACGAGGCGATCGCGATTTTGCGATGTCTCCTTGAAACTATAAAAGATAATAAACATTTTAGTAGGCTTGAAGCCTTCACGCACAACTACCTGATGCTATAAAGGTGCCGTGGTGCTTGGTGACGCATTAAACGGTGGACTACACAATTATATTCAAGTGTTGGTGACGAGTGACGACTATCTGATACGCCAGTGGCTTATGTAAGATTATTCCTATCGTTGTGACTCACTACTTTGCGACTTTATTACGACAGCATACAGTTCATAATAGTGCCAAGATACGTGAACGACCGTCAGATCGATTATTGGCGTTACGAGGTTTATGTACAATCGATAAGTAGACGTTCAGCCTTACAGTAACACACATGTAGGTAGCCTACACCTACATAGACACAACCGTTTAGTCGAGGAGAATTTCTTACAACAATCTAAATATCTTGTATGGTAGAATGACACGTGCCGAGACGCTTGCCAAGTAATAAATTATTACTACTAGCCAAGTAGGTACCAACGAATTATAGTTGTTCAACTACAAGTGATCGATTTTTAAGTAATTAGTTAGTAAAATACATTCAACAAGGAAGTAAAATGAAAGTTATTTCAAACCAATCTTCTAGATAAGACGAAGAACTCGTCATGACAGTGGAACTATTAATCTTAGGGTCATTTAAACCGAGTTGGACAGTTTCGACGTAAGTTATACGTCACCTACTCAAGTGACACTTGCCTACATTAAACGTAGGAATAATAATTAACCAATGAGTCACATTGACGCGTCTGCGCATACGTCTTTGAAATTGAAACAAAAGGGAAACTATTTGAAGCACGTCAGGGTTATGTTTCAGTCGTCTAAACATAATGTAAAATTATTTATTCCACTAAGGACTAGTCATAATAACCTATCTGCCGCTACTACCACCAGAATAGGTCTGTTAAAAGACCCTGTGCCTCTTACAGATGCTTATAAGGGAATAAGCACTGTGTGCTAAAGTATAGATTCACCCCTAGTTTCTGCTGGGCTGCAGAAACTCTCTATCTAATTTATAAGACATAATCTAATTTGTGAGACGGTAATGACCATAATTGATGCAACAATTATTTTTGTAAATATACTAGTACTTATATTTAATTTTGAGATTTAAAAAAACGTGTCATTATTCTACCTTTCGTAGCCATGTCTACAGACAGGTAGGTTAAGAATGGTCATTAATCTATCAGTGACCTAGTTCTGTTACTGCTAATGACAGGTTTTATCTCTCTGTGTCAAATGCATGACCAATCCTAACGTTGCATTCATATGACGTTCCATTTGTGAAGATGGCTGACAAATAGTTGAATCAGTTTTCTTGGACCACTTTAAGTCAGGAAGTACTTCAAACTTAAAACCCCTTTCCGGGTATATTAATTTGCAAATGATTCATAAGCTATTGTATTCTGTCCGCTTATTCTCGTTTGAATTAATTTTAGTAACTAAAATCACTAATTATTGTAGGTTTATTATATATTTTTGTTTTCCTATTCATAAGTTTGTTATTTATGTAAGTTTATTATTTGTAAATACCTACATGTTGTTCTTTAGAACATTTTTATTGGTACCTTTAGGTACCAATAAAAAATTTGGTATACATGAATTTGTATCTGGAATTTCCTTGTCATTCAGGATAATTACAATAATTACCAAGGATTTAAGAATATTATTTAAGCTTATGGTTTTCTGATCTATTATAGTATTAATAATATCATTACATAGGTAATACTTAATTGGAGAATTCTCAATTAAGTATATCGACGTAATTTTGGAATGTATAATTTAAATACGATAGCAATTTACTTTAATAAAACTTGTGACGTGAGCTTTAAAACAAAAAAAATGTACAGAGAAAATTTTAGTAGACCTTTATATTTGTAAAAAGACCAGTCATACATCTCGGTGAACATCTCGCTAATTTTATCGGTGACTATTACCAAAATAAAGTGATCATTGTACAATCCACAAAATATATTTGTTGGAACATTTTATAGGACACAATGTTTTATAATGTCGACGGCGAAACGTATAAACTAGCAAATGTACCATTTTCATAACTGGGTCCGGCGTCATACGTTGAATCTTAGAGAGTCTATTAATAAATCGTAAATAAACGTTGTTATTCTTATTATAAACAAACTCCAGTTATTTTGGACATTTCCATCGACGTTTTGACGTCATTAATGTCGATCAAAGTCGATACGAGTTTCGCACATTTGCTTAAAGGAACTGACAAGCGATAGATAAGTACGTTACGTCGGTACCTAGGTTTAAATTACTAGAATTGATAATATCAAACAAACTATAAATATCACTGAGTTATTGCATGCTAAAATGCAAACAATGATGATTTTTATTACGTTCCTTTTTTACTTTTCAATGTTCTATGTTCAATAAAATATATACAATCTAAATTCCTCATAAAAATACTATTTCATAGCTCACTTGTCAGAAATGTACCTATAGATGCACTTCCAATACTTAATACTCTTGGTAGATCAAAGACGACTGAAGATGTGATCTAGAAGCTTGCTAGTGGCTACTAAATACATAAGCGATTTTCTATTTATTTATTTTGGACCAAATTTAACGTAACATAAAATGATCTATCAGAGATATTTAAAGCGAAATATGAGCTCTTGTTTATTTTCTTATTTACAAAGACCAGAATAGTTTTTAATACTACTCGATATTAAAGAACATAACATCTAAATACATGTATTCGATAATAAAAAAGAAAAACAATATTATGTACGAAAATATTTTATTCAAACCACTTCAATCTACGTAACATTTTTACACTTTATACTCATTGCGCTGAAAATAAATGCTGAGTTGTAAAAAATATACTGATATTCGCGCAATATAATGTTCGAGCCAAAAACTCGTAAATAAACTATCTTCGGTATGAGATAGCATCATCACGCCACGTTGCGAACACGTGGCCTGACAGTGGAAGCGAAGTGATTCGGTACATACCGGTATTTTGTAAAACTAGCTACGGAAATCTTGCTAGTACTTCTCAAAAGGAATCTACACTTCTGAAAAAGCAAAGACTTTCAGTAAAAGACCAAAAGTATTTTTCATTTTCTTATTTTGCTATTAAGTAAATCTGTATATTTGACCTAATCATTCATTTCGTAAATCTTGTCTACGTCTTTATACCTTGAAACTATCAGTCGTTCCGTCACTCCGGCACTCCTATGGGAGGTGTCTGGGAGGGCCGACCTTCATATGTACTGATGATAATGCTTTCTCACTATACCCCAATTGTTCACTCAATTGGAGTAACCCGACCTTCAAATGACGTAGCAGGCAATAATGATTAGTACGACTTGGTAATACGAACTACTTATGCGTGTTCGCTTATGAAATCTTGTTTTTACTAAATAATCGTTTTGTTAGTTTTACGCAAGACTTTTAGTGGCTAATGGCTGAAATGAATTACCAACCTTAATCTAAAATCTCTGGATGAATCTCGGTTTTTGACAAAAACTCCATATGCAGCTAATATCAAGAATCGGTCTTTTGTTTTTTTTAATAAATATCGTGACTTCGTGAGACATACTAAATTACCACAAAATTGCGGGTTATTCACGTGAAAATACTTAGAAAAGCTCTACTAGTTTCGAACCACAGAGGGGTTCTTCCTCATGAGCAGCGTACACGGTCGCGGCGATGTCGCGCACGCTGTTCATGCTGAAACTACTAGAGCTATTCTCAGTACTTTCACGTGAGTAACCCGCGATTTTTAGTCAAGAATCGATCTTATTCCAAATATTTTGGATTGAGACTGATTACACTAGTCAACAGTCAAAATTTCCCGGGGGAAATACATATCATATTTTGTAGATAATCATTCACCTAATATCATAAAAATAATAATTTATTTCTATCACGTATAGAAAATGAGATTTTAGTTTTTTTTTAAATTGTCACTTTTTGTATCAATATAAGAGGGTAGCTTGAAATTTTTCGTAGAAACGATCGCAATAATATTTTGAAGTAACAATATACACTTCGTTCTTTCACCATGTCTCGCCGTTGTGTCAATTCTCCGGATTTATTTTGTTTTATTTGCGGTTTATATTCGCCGAAGAGTCAAAAAAACGCATAACGCCTTTGATTACTAAGTGCTATCGTGCATATTTTGGTTTAGATATTCGCAACCAAGACAAATATTGGTTGCCACATATGTGCTGTTACTCATGTCACAAGAATTTGACTAACAGGTTCAATGGGCAACCAACAAAGATGCCTTTTGGCAACCTATGATTTGGCGAGAACCTAAGGATCATGTGAGTGACTGTTATTTTTGTCTAACGGATGTCAAAGGATTTTCTAAGAAATCAAAGCACACAGTAAATTACCCAGAGGTGTCTTCTGTGACAAAACCAATACCTCATTCGGAAGATCTTCCAGTACCTACGCCTCCAAGTCACGTTCAACACTCAAGTACCACTTCAGGTTCTGATGATGAATTTGAGGACATTCAAGTGGAAAGTACGTCTGAATCACCACATTTGATCAACCAAGCTGAGCTCGACGACCTTGTTAGAGACTTGGACTTGCCTAAGGAAAAATCTGAACTGTTAGGTTCAACATTAAAACAATGGAATCTGCTTCAACACGACGTTCGCGTTACTGCATACCGTAAACGACATGTTTCCTACGTTAATTTCTATTCTAAAGATGGAGATTTAATTTATTGCAACGATGTTGTTGGTTTATTGGCTAAATTGGATCACCAGCATTCACCAGATGAATGGAGGCTGTTTATAGATTCATCTAAAACTAGCTTGAAAGCCGTGCTTCTTCACAACGGAAACCAATATCCATCCATTCCAGTGGCGCATGGTGCTCATTTTAAAGAAACTTACGACGTCTTAAAGCATTTATTGAATAAAATAGAATATAGTAAACATCATTGGGCAATATGTGCTGACTTAAAAGTGGTTGCTTTACTTTTAGGATTGCAAACTGGGTACACAAAATACTGTTGTTTTTTAGGTGAGTGGGATAGCCGTGCAAGAGCTGAGCATTATGTTAGAAAAACTTGGCCACTGAGAACTTCTTATGATCCAGGTCAGAAAAATGTCAAAAATTACCCATTAGTAGATCCAAAAAAAGTACTTTTACCACCATTACATATTAAACTAGGGTTAATCAAAAACTTTGTGAAAATGAACAAAGATGGCTCAGGCTTTAAGTTCCTAAAAGAAAAATTTCCTGCTTTAAGTGATGCAAAATTAAAATAAGGTGTTATTATTGGCCCAGACATTAGAAAATTAATTAAAGATCCGTTGTTCATTTCTAGCTTAAACGATAAAGAAAAGAATGTTTGGTTGGCATTTGTTGAAGTCACAGAAAATTTTTTGGGAAACAAACGATCGCCTCAATATGAAAACCTTATAAATCAAATGTTAAATGCTTATAAAGAATTGGGTTGCAATATGTCCTTAAAGACACACTTTCTGCACTCGCACCTAGATTTTTTTAAAGAAAATCTCGGTGCTGTGAGTGATGAGCACGGTGAGCGCATTCACCAAGAAATCGCTTCAATAGAAAAGCGTTACTAGGGGAAATGGACCACTGCAATGCTTGCAGACTACTGTTGGTTTTTAGTTAGAGAGACTCCAACCTCTTCTTACAAGAGACAAGCCAAAAGAACAAAAACAAGTTTATTTTTTATGTCAAAATAATATATTTACTTCAAAATAGATATCAAAAATTTTAAAATTAAAAATAAATTTCTCTTAAAAACTATACGTGACTGAGATATTTTATTTACTGTTCTAAGTTCCCTACAGCATGGTGATTCCGAATTACATAATCAGATCTCTGGGAAAAAATAAAACTTTTTTTTGTTGCCTAGTGTTATTAATTTCGGCCGTTAGTTTTTCATTTGATCTATTTCGGGCAGAAAAAATAGCCACCCTCTTACGGATAATACGAACCGCAGAGATAATATTCTAATAGCTCGTCGTGGAGGCAATAAGGCGGTAGGTTACAGAAGGAAATGACGTTATTACTACGCAGGTGGATTGTGGATTCCTCCCCCTGATATAAACGAGTTTCTTCGTTCTGACTTTTTGAAAGAATTTTATAGCTCTCAGATTTACGAGCAATCCTTACAAAGTGAAAAAGAATCTTTTGTTTACACGTAAAGCGATGGAAACCCGACTAACCCTAACCGAAATCTTATAAGAAACAAATTTTACTGTACAAAAGACTTTTTAGAAATTCTAAATGGAAAATTGTGAACGAGCTGCGAACTTCTCAAACAAAAGATATTTAAAAAGTAAATAGCTGTGTTTCCAACAAGTCTTTATAAAAACCCATCTTAGGTAATTTTACAGAAATTCTCCACAAACAATTCGGATAGGAAAAAACCTTAATTAAGTTTGAATTTCATTACAATATCGCGTACCTAAATACATTTTAATTAAGACAAAAAATAACAATAAACCGTTTGCTATTTACAAGGACATTATATTCTATGAAAGAGAAATAACACCGACGAAAAAAATGAAAATGTCACAATACATAAATGAGGATGTAAATGTAATTTGGCGACAATTTCGCATCATTGTGTCAAGTCAAACGTGAAAGAAACAAAGAGACCAAGTGATGAAGTGGAAATTGGGCAGTAACACAGTTAGCCAACCATTTGCAAGTACCGTAATGTTCCGTTTCCCACAATACAAAACCCGATGTGCTCTAGATCTGTTTAACAAGACTAGTTAGTACTTAAATACGATTATTTATAAATACAAAACTCATCCATAAAATAAATCATTTACCTAAATATTCCATTAATTATAAAGTGAAACCAGTTTTTACGCACAAAAACCAGGTTTTTTACCATAAAATTTGTTATCATCCAATTCTTAATATTATATCCGAATCATACTTACTCATGGGAAATATCATGATTTTTCCATTCATAAAGATAGTGGGAATTATATCAGTGGTGATATCATTGTGGAACTACATAATAGTATGTTTAATATTAAGCCATAATTATGTGTTTAGTAATTTAGTACCTAATTACTATTGTAAGCACTTACATAAATGTATTATTTTAACAAACATTACATTCAGCATTTTCATAAGGTATTGAATTATTAATGAATCAAAGAATAACAAAGGACACGCACTGATAAATGCAGTTCAAAGCGACGTGCCGTAAAATTGCTAATCAAGCAAATACGAACGACCCTGACATACTTCTAACAAACCTCCTTAACTTTATACCTATTTTTACTATCATAAATACGAACGCGACTGATGATGCCGATTTAGCTGAATTTATGAGAACAGTTACGGAAACCGTACAGCAAACGTCAACTTTAAAGTACCCAATTAATGGAAATGAAGAACAACCGTAAACCCTCCGTATTATAGGGTACGCTCATTACTGAATTTCAGTATCATATCTTTAGTAGGTACCACTAGCAAATACATAAAAATATTCAATCACAATGTCTTCAATGAAATGACCAATCAGAATCATGTTACATGTAGGCACGGCAGTGACGTTGAAAATAATTTCCTTGTATGAGCAATTGTTTAAAAATATTCCTTACAATGCTTGTTAGTAATAACGCAAGGCTGCATAGCGTTTATTCATCTGCAGACGTATTGATTGCATGAAGGCAGTGGTGGGTTTCAAGCGACGCACTGCCGTCACAACATCGGGCGTCAGTGGCCAAGTGACGTGGTCTAAGATAGAGACTTTCTTGCCAAACGAATGTGAGTCAGTAGCGATATAAAACCGAGCGGCCAATGTAAGCATCGCACATTTAGCATTAAACCGCCAGTCTACGCTGTGTGCTCCGATAAAATATTTTAAAGTATTAATGTTTGTAAACGGTGAACGTTTTATCACTTCTCAGTTCGAAAGGATTAGTCTAAACATAGACAGTAAGTATTGTTAAGTGTTGTTATAAGTGTGAATAGTTACCCAGTGAATGGTTTCAAGTGATTTACTGAAAATTTTTAATCATGTGGAAAATATTTTTCAAACTTTGCATAGAGAGACAAAATTATTCAATGTTTAAAAGTAGATCTATAAATTAGATAGAAGTGTTATGTTTGTGTGATTATACTTATGATTTTTTCTGTTCTTTTCAGGAAACATGCAACCGAAAGCCGATAGACCTGTGGGCCCGAAGAGCGAGCCTCCTCAACTACACCTGACTCCATCAGGTGGAGCACAGAAACGGAATGAAGTATCACCACAACCCGGGAGCAACCCTTGGCTGCTGAAGCCACAACACGAAATCCCGCCCACACCACCGCCACAAGCCAACCCCCAGCCCCTCGAATTCTTCCCACAAAGGATAGGATAGACTTACAAAAAGAACTCACGAATAAATAATATTGAAATGTAAATGGCAAGTTGCCATTTTGTCATTCTGGCTTTTAAGAAAAGCCGAATAAAAATACGCCTCGTTACGTTAAGCAAGAATTTGCGTAAATGCCGGAGACGAACGAAGGGAAACTTCAGTCAGGCGAAACATGAAGTGCGTCAGTGGCATGTGTGGTGTGTGGTCAACCTGGGAGACTGCGACTGGATGCGATATAATGTTTGATAATAAATATAGTTTGTGGCAGACCACGTGCCGACATAACATTAACTGTGACAAGCATAGATGGATGCTTTTAGTGATAGTTTTATTAATAGTGATGTAGACGCAGTGAAAGCAATTATTAGAACTATAAACATTCGTTTAAAGTTTAAGATTTACAGAATTTGTTATCTGTTCAAATTTAAAGTTATAAAATATCTAATTCTTTCCTAGATAGGTATGACTATATTGTTAAACTAAATTAAGTACGTCCAACAATAATCTCGAGCAATAAATTATTGAGATAAATAACTATCAATTAGATAATGTAGTATTATTTTAATTCCACCCTAGGCAACTGTTCTATCCATTCGTTTGAGTTTTGACGTCAATGTAAGTTTATTTTTTGTTCCGTAATATGATTTGAACATAAAATTGAAGTATGTACATACGTATGTATGTATAACGTATTCATATTCGTACATACATATGTATTGTACCTAATGGCAGGTAGTTAAACAATTATGTTTTTTATTACATGTAGAAATGTTTGGTATTACGGTTACCAGTTCAATAACCTTTGACTTACAAGTGACAATGAACTCTTAGAAATTAAAATTGACCAACATTTGAAATAACTTTAAACTGTCAAATACCAAGCGGTCACCGGTGACCGCAACCTATTGTTCTATAATTGTGTCTGCAAAACCGGTACTCGACGAGTTAAACTAGCAACGAAGGTACATAAGTTCCAATGTACATGTGCGTAAATGCGTAGATTTGTTTCCCAGTATTGGCTTATCAATCACACATTTGTTATATTTTATCATAGACTTGTATCAAGAACTAACGAAGCGTGTAGTTATCATTCTAAAAGATAAACGAAAAAATATTGCATAAAGCGAGTAGAAAAATAGATTATGAGTAAGTTGTTTGAGAATAATCTGCACTCATTTTAATCTGGATCTTAACTAAGAAATGCAAACATGATTTAGACTTTCGTTGGATTCTCCTCTGACTCACAGTAAAAGGTGGTGACTCACGGTTAAAATTCAATAGCTACTTTTCCCAAAATGATGATTCAGGTACTCATCATACTTAAAATCCTCATTTATATTGGCTTTTGTTCGTTTAAAAGCACATCAAATTTACCATTGTTCTACAAAAATACTAATTAATTGCTTAATTTATTAACTACCCATACAAGCAGAAGTTTTTGTGTGTCGTTTTTTGGAAACAAGTGAAGCAATCAGCGGTGGGCGTCAGACCGGCGGCGGCGGGTTCGTCAAATGGTACAATTGTTCATACGTGCCACCACTCTACTTGTGTCTGATTGACGTGTTCCCACAAATGAACGAGTTGAACTCTTCTCTGTAGACCGTACCTACCTACACATACATACTACCAAACTTTGAATTGGGAAAACATTTTACTTTTGATACAGTACTCAATGTAAACAACGTTAAATTTAATATTATTATTGCATATTGCATGCACTCAAGATCTCGTAGATTATACTGCAATAGTATCAATTTGTTTGATTGATACCAATGCATTTTCCATGTACCTTTACTGTGCCATCAATAATCAAACAAGGGACCCCGCCAATAAATATTTCCATCGAGCAAATCAACCATCCAGCCTTCGAATCAATCATCTTAATTGAAGCTAATATCTTATCACATAATTAGTACAATTGTCGAGGGAAAACATTAATTGCTTCAATATCTATGACGCGGTACTAACGTCTTAAACAGTTCCTGCTAGCTACGGCCATGTTCTAATTTAAAAGCCTTTTAGCGGTACTTTTTATGCATTTAGCTAATTGCACGAATCACAGTGCGAGTAAAAAGCATTTCATCGTCAATCAGGACACAGTAATCCGTTTTACCCGGCCCATTTTTCCGTTTCCAGTGCTACAAAAATGGGAGTGTACAATAAGCAGTATTACGTCTCAAATCTACATCATTTATTATTAGTGCGTCCGCGATCGATATTTAAAATATAGATATCTAGACATCGAGTAACTACTTGGTACATATACGACACTGTTAAGTGATATTATTGAACAGGATAGTACTAGAACGTTCCAAGTGCAATCGCGGGAAGCCGTGGCAGTGCTCACTCATTTTTCACGCTTATTATACAACTTACCTCGCCGGAGACGAACGGGAAAACACTTTTAATTAGTTTAGAATATGAATGAGATACTTTGTGATTAGACTGAAGGCTTCAAGTAAGGGGGTGCGTTCCGCAATGGACGCCGGCAAAACCTGAAGTGTCGTGATACGTGCGGCCTCTATCGGCAACCGAATAACGCGAAGACTGCCTAAACGATCAGACAGGGCACCCAACGATATACTTTTATTTGTATGTTACTGTTCTACCTAAACCCGACGTCGTTGTTTATTGTGGTTGAAGTAATGCTTATTTATCAGTTGCATTGACGAATTTTATTATCAGCATCGATTAATTTACTATGCCAAAATCAGTACAAATTTCAACTATCCATGTTATACAACACAAAAATATTTTATGTAACAGCTATTATTTATTTGTCTACGCTTCTCTAAACATTCTTAGTTCTAGAGAAAAGGCGTCCTGCGCCCTGAAAATGATGCGCGCGCAACCACCACCGGCCAGTTCCCTACAGGGGAGCACTATTAAAGATTACTATAGCCTTCATTGAGAACGAAAGATATGTGTCCCTTTTACATTCATACTGAGTGAAAGAGATGACAGGAGAGTTTCAGAACGGTTTCAACAGAACAGTAATAGCTAACCCGGCTCGCGACGCTCGAAGGCATGTTTATTTTTCCAAGTTTCAATTTACATGAATCATATCAGGAAATTGTAATTGAATCATAAAACTGGGTGGACTAAGGCAAATATATTTACCTAGATATAAATCAGGATAGGTATTCAAATAAGGTATTGATAAAGAACATAATATGGTCATTAATGTTTTTATTATCTTCGTGATTGTAAATTAAACAATGATAGCGTTAATCACGGCCACTAAATAAGGATAACTCCGGTAAGTAACGCTTACCTCGGTACCTACGTGAAACTTTCCGTTCTTACAATGGATTTATAGATATCAAAATGAGCCAAACGTCTTTGTAGTTTGATGAACCTCGCGATAATTACCTGAAACAATAAAAAACATAGATTTAGTAAATGTAGACATCCTATAAGATCATTAAGGACATGACATGCTTAATTAATTAATTATGAAGGATATACTTGAAGAACGGAGTTTAGATTAGTCCCAGAGACTTGTAAGGATGGAAATATTAGTCTTATCAGCAAAATGTATATCACTGCTAATCCACCACAATCCGAGATAATTATATAACTAGGATTATAATCTTAACCTTCGGAAAAACCGATGTTTCAAAACCTCTAAGACGTTATTTCCACAATGGAAAATAAACCAATTCCCATTAGTTAGTTTAAGAGGTTGTGTTAAGAAAAAATATCAGATAATTATTTGGAATGTACTAATAAAGACAAAATAGGAAATCCACAAAACCCACACACGAAAGTACTTACTTAGTGTGGGTGCGACAGAAGTACCTCATTTGGGCAGTCAATGACCTCATTTTGGCTCGTTGAAGAAACGTTAATGAAGATTTAATATTAATTTTAAATGATTATTAATCTTCATAAATTTTTTTTATGTTGAATATTAAATTGCCAGTAGATCTAAAATTATCACATCGCGTTTTGTTTTTGGACACCTGTCGTACGATTCTGTGCGACGTTTTTCTTGAAGTTTTCCTTTATATTGTTCGTGTGTTCTGCCAAAAATGTGGCGCACTGGCGCTGCTACTGAGACAAAAAATATCTTATGTGGTCATGCATATTATTGTTTAAATCAAATTGTAGGTTATTTATGCGTGTTGCCAATTTTATCTAGATGCCTAAAGCAGATTTTTTCCATGATTTTGCTAGACAATTTTACTTTGAAACATAGCTTTTAGCAACTGATGACACAGAAACGGGCACATAATAATAAGTGTAAAAATGCATACATTAGCAAATACTGTTACCATGTTTAAAGTGCATAGCTACTTAGTACTTTAATGTTGGCAAATATTTTTTTATAGTTTAACTCGTCGAGTACCGGTTTTGTAGTAAAACCGGTACTCGACGAGTTAAGTACTTATCGAATTTAAACTCGAATCTAAAGATTGTATACATAATTTAATCTCTCTCTCTTAAACTCTTTAATCAACATCATTTGAAATTACGAGGAAAATATAAAAAGTGAGATTATTTTAATGTACAATGACGTGAAACGATGGCATTGATAAAGACGAACATAATTGTATCAAGGCAAAAATAACTCGCATCCATTACTGATAGAATGTAACAGCAATCGCAAATCCGCCTGCCGTGAGTGCCACGAACAATGATTACCAATGATTGATAGATTGGCTACGGCGATGAAGCATGATTATCCATCCAATATCGTTAGCTTAACAATCCACTGGAAGTCTGTAAGGTATTAACTATTTAGAGCTTGTACCATCCATAGATCACTTTAGTAAAATGAAATTAATACTATTCCATTCCTTTATAAAGTCGCAGAGAACCTAACGGGTTACCGGGGCTCCGGCTCGAAGCGCAGGAGAAGGAATGCGGTGGTTTTTAGTCAGTAAGAGTCTGACACTCCCTCCCGCCTCACCCAGGCGGGAGCAGTCATTCAATGATTTTCCCCCTTAAAAAATCCTGTATAAAGATATTAATATGTATGCAAAATATAAATGAAATCGCAATGTTACAACACGTTGTGTTTTCGATATACAGCACGTGGTCAAAACTGCAAATACAAGACATTTACCTAACATTATAAATGTGAAATAAATTAACGGGTCGTTTAGTGGTCACGAGAATATACGTTATGTCTTGACAGGAGGAAAACATGAATTGTTTTGATTAAATTACACTTGGTAAAAAACTGAATCCTTATACTTACTAATATGCGAATGCGAAAATGTAATCGTTTATTTTACAAGTCGCGACTCGCGGTGGGGCTATTTTATATTTGAGTCTTGGAGATAAAGTGATACAGCTTAATATTTTTCCTCGAACCACGTGGACGAAGCAGGGAGTAACAGCTAGACTTATATTTTGTTAAAAATCTACGGGCCTCTCACCACTATTATATTGTACGATGGTAAGGAAATAGAGCGATAATTGTGTGTTACGCTTGGCAGACGAATAGATGACGATCGAATATAAATTAGCACACGGCTGTGACGTCAGCCAGTTTCGGGAAACACCGGTTGACAATCACTTACCGTAAATTAATAGGAAAAGAAATGTTTATTCATCAAAGAAAATTACTATTTGCGTATTTTGCTGTACTTAATAATTTTGTTTATCTACGTATTACGCAGATGGTACGGTTAATTTATTGCATTAAAATGATTAAGTAGGTACACAGAACATATAAAGAAGGGGTAGGAACTTATTGTCTCGTTTTCGTGTTATTTCCCAGTCCCTAAAGTATGGTTAGTAAGTATATAAAGTTTGTTGTTGTCCCTTAGTTTTTCAATAAAGATGTAGATAAAAATCCAGCATGACACCTAACAGCACTTAATAAGAATACTAACACGTAAGGTCACATTTATGCGTGCATTTGTGACAAGAGAAAATGTAATAAATACTTCCAACTTATTGATGGTGCATAGTCCTTGAATATTACGAGTTTGTCCCAACCAGGAAGTGGGTTTGCCATCGCGTGTCTTTTTACATTACCTGCCTATGGTGCGTGTCCCTGTCTTCAGGCGTTCGACTGAAAAATGTGTCTCTAGTAATCTATGTTGCCTTTTATCGGTCAATCGATACCTCTTCCATTGTTCATTTTATAACTCTCTTTGTACTTCCAACGAGATGCGCCATTTATGATTTCTAATGTAATTCAGAAGATAATTATTGTTTAGATAAACTAGTGTCTATTATTTTTTTATGTTTAAATATGATTATCTGATTTCAAGTTATTTATGATAAAACAAATTAATGATACAATAATATTACGTGAAAATTTTGATAATCCTTTTCCAATACTGATAAAGTATCTCCGTATGAAAACTAAAAGCCATTTTCCGTTGATCACCAGTTCTCAATGCCCTTCCTGAGCTCTGGTGAACCCATAAACCAGCACTAAATTCATCGAGTACGTTGAACACACAAAGTCTGGAGTCAACGTACGAAAACCTAATTTAACCGCCCAGTGCTGCCATCGTACTACGGCGTAGCAAAGTTTCTGTTCAGCGCCACCTATGAACATTTTCACTAACTATCCAATCTGAGTTTTTCGTCCGTGATGTGAAAATTGAACGGAACGCAAAAGCGATGATGCGGCGCTACAATCACTTAGTAGCTAGTTCTCTACTTATTGTGTAGATGGCGCTGGGGTCGATAGATATTTTATTTCATTTTTTATTTTAAGTTTTATATTTACAACACCTTGATAAAACCGATTCTTTCAAAATAAGTATAACCATAAATGCATTAATGAATCAGCTTAGAAATATACAATTCTAAGAAAACCTTGAGAGTTCGATGCCCTATTCTACCTTATCAGAATAGTACATGTGACGAAATAATGTAGTTTACTACTTATAGGTAAAGAGCTTATCTAGTTATTTAAAGATTTCATTAAGGAGTATAAGCTACTTATAACATAATCATTCATATATCGTATAAATAGTAAACACGACATTTCAAACCAATCAATGTTTTCTACTAGTTAGTGTTTACAATAGCACTACACGCAATTATTCAAACGTAAAAAATGTAATGAAACAAAACAAAACAATGATTGTTTACTACACGTACGAGTGCCACGAGTGTTGGTGGGAGGCAAGGCGTAACGACCCGAGCATGGTTCATAACAATGGGGATCTCGGGATCTCCAAGTGCTTTGAAACCCTACCCATTACTAATAACCAGCGAAGGGTTAAATGTCTCCAGTTTGGTGGAACTCCGAACATTTTACCCTTCGGTACATTCGAACGGTGAAATATTTCAGCTTTTATTCCGGTTGTTTCACCTAAAATCCTAGGTTCAGTCTGTAATTAGAATGAGTGAATTTTAGGTATGCTAAAATGTTACGAAGAAAACTGTAAATTAAGACATTTAGTGACAGAAATAAAGGTTGATAAAGCTGTTGTAAAAATCCAAAGATGTAGGTAATAGTACAGGACTTGTGATTTATTCTAGGTTTTTACCTTTTTTACAAAACTAC